ATAAGTGGAATATAATGTAACAATGTCATCTAAAATACAAAAAGTGTACATACAATAGTACAAAAAGTACATTTTACAATGAGCAAATATTGAATGAAAAACAACCATTAGGGCCTATAGAGTTTCCCACTGATAGAAGGACCTGTGGAGGACTTCAACTCTCTGTTGGCAGGGTTCTCACTCTAAGCCAAATGTCAAATTCCCTGACTTTTCCCTGAATTTCACTAAAAAGTTGAATTTCCATGACCTATAATGAACGGAAAAACAGGCCGCTGTTGTGCTGAGGTCTTTTTTTTTCTTTTACCCGTCAAATGCACTTTGATATTTTTTATACTTTCTTTTTTTTTAACTCCGTCTTTGAAGTGGCTATTTTTTAGCCAAAGCTCCTAAAAATTTACATTTTCTGGCATATTTGCCTTAGTTAATAGCCTGGTGACTGCATTTGACTTAAGTGATTGCAAGTTAACGAGCGGAAAGTTGAATAAAATGGCCCTGGAAAAATAGCCCAGGGCTCAACACTAAGGTTTTTTTCAGTGGTTCAAATTATTACTTGCCCTGTTAATATTTTCACTAGCCTTGCCACAAAAAATAAATAAATAAAATTGTTGCTGTTATAAATTTTGTTTTATCTATGTTACCCTGTATTCTAATAAATAAACCTATGACACCAATATTTTAGATACCAATAAAATTTTACAATTCTCGATTTCAATTTTAATACCACAGCAAAAACCACTAGCCTAACTAATATAAAGTTCAAACAATATTAAAGATAAGTGACAGCCAGTAAATAAGAACAAATGAACAAATTGCGAGTAATAGCAAAATTAAATATAAAGCACAAAGATAGAAATTAAATTTTGCTCAAGTTTTTATGTTTGTAGGTGTTCAGGTACAGAAATTGAAGAATTACTTATAAAATAACATTTGCATATTCTTCACTCTGTGTTGCACCTTAATTTTTCATTGCCATTTGAAATTAGTGGCAAGGCAACCACTGCATTTTAATCATGAATCAATCCAAAAAAAAGTGCAATGTTTGATTCAGATTAGACTTGGGCTACAGTTTCACACTCTGACAGCAGGTGGCGCTTGTGGAACAGCAGTGATGCAGCGTTTCCTTGGCTACTGCTGTAAACACAGCAGCGTATTCACACTCATTTAAATGCATTATACAGAGGCAAGATGAAAAGAAAACACCATGTAAACATTTCTGAAAACAACCAGTCCCCCTCAGAAACACATTCATATAAAATTCAATATTTAGGATTCCTATATTTCGCGCATCATGAACAGTGATCTTGTTCTGTCTGATACAGTATTTTCTCCTCTTTGTTTGGTTGTCGAGTTGCTGATGCTATGAGGGGTTAGTGCACTATTATTACTGCCAAACTTGTAATTACATATAAGATCAGGGAAAGATGGTGGTATCTAACAATAAAAGTAATAATGACAAAAAAAAAAGTAGTAACGATCACTTACTATTGATCAGTAAGATCCTGAGAGAGTCAAGACACCAGAAGAATGGAAAGCGTGTTTGAGTGAACTTGGCTTCGAATGTGTGTAGATGTGTGTTAGTTCATAGTGTCATAATCCAGATACACTCTCACACGATCAAGCTGCTGTTCAACATGAAAATCAGATGGTAAAGACCGTCCGTACCACACACACCAGACATCAGTGTTAAAGAAACCACGTCCCTTCCTCTAGTTTGATGCTGTAGTTATTCCAAGTCTCCGGTTTGAACTGCCTTTAACCTCCACATCCCAGCTGTGTGTTCCTGAGTTAAAACCCCCGGATCCCAGAACACAGAGATACTCGTCAAATCTCTCTGGATTATCAGGAGGAGGTTGATTGTTCCTGCTGACTCTCACAGGGGTAATGTAGCTCTTAATTCATGTGAATTGTGTACTGCTAGGCACCTTTGGTTTCCTCTTTTTTGTGTAATTTAGATGGAAAATGTGTGCCTTTTTTATCGTTTGAGTCACTTATCAAAAGTTGCTAAATAAATTTGAAAAAATAGCTAAATTTGTTGCTAGGTGCTTTTGGAAGAAAAAGTTGCTAGGGTAGCCTAAAAAGTTGCTAAATCTAGCAACAAAATTGCTAAGTTGGCAACACTGGTTGTGTTTGGATCCAGAATCACAGGAGCTGATGAGACACAATCAACAGATGCTTTTAGTCTGATGTTCATATAATGATCAAGAGTGAACCACACACAGATGATTATGAATTATGACACTCGTCCTGTTTATTAAACACATCAGACATTTTTCTCTGATCACTGTCAGTGCTGTTATGTTTTTTTTACTCATTTTTATCATCAGTGTTTAACAGCATTACAGGGTTCCTACACATTTTTGGAAAAGTATGGAATTTGATTTGAGTCATTTTCAGGTCTGGAAAAGTATGGAAAAAAGAAAGCAGAGTATGGAAAAATATTTGCATTTCCAGACTTTTGCCCCTATTTAGTTATATGTAATAGAAAATTAAGAATTTAATGAAAATAAATGTGTCATACAAGAAGTATGGCAGTGATTCTTTAAAATAAGAGCGCGAGGTTTATCTGATAATCAGATGCATGAAAGTAGCGTTTGTTGCTATAGCAAACAGACATCGGGCGCGTTTTCTTTCAGAATCATCATTCGCCGATGGAGAGGGGGGAAAATGAGATAAAGAAGTTTTCGCACTGAAAGAGAAGTGATCTCGTGCTCATAGATGTGCCAGGCTAACATTATATCTGCAGCTAAGCTGAATAAAAAGCAGAATGAACTGAAACGTTAAGACAATAAACACAATAAATAAATACAATTTATGAATGATGCAGTGCTAATTGACATATCATTTATTATAGTAGCCTACAGAAACTATAAAGTATATATATTTTTTATCTTATTCTGTGCAGAAAATTGTAATAATTGTTTGTAGTATATAAAACAATCATAAAATTGCCATTAGGAAAACATTATAGATTACAAATTATTGATTATTGTCCAGCGGTGTATTTGATTTCTTATAGCAAATTCAAAGTAAGATAAGAAAAGAATTCCTTGTACAAATTTTTTAAAAAATAATAATACATACATAAAATTATTGTATTAATTGTGAATCGAATTGAATCGTTGTGAATTTGCAAAAATCGTTCTTGAATCGAAAACCTATGACTCGTGAATCGAATCGATTCGCTGTCTATCCAAAGATTCACAGCCCTAATAGAAACCCTTTAAATCACACTGAGATTATGTATTTTTTACTTGTAAATCACGTTTGTCACTCTTTAGTTTTTAATAATGGTTTCTACACCCAAACACATTAAAGTTCTGTCTTTAAGACAGAATCTCACATTATTTCATTTGTAGTTCTTAATATTTTCAACACACCATTGTACGAAATTTATTTAAATATGTATTTCACCAAGAAATCAACTCTGAAATCCTCTGGCATTTAAATTTTCTGTGCACTTTTGTATTTTTAGACAGCAGCGTGATGACAGGACTTTTATTTTGGTGTTGTGGTGTGACGTCATAAGACTGCGCCGCTCTCCTGCGTCTGTTGAGATTCAGCTGATAAAGGTTTGTGTTTTTAAGCATTTAAAGTGTTTAAATCACTGCAAAAAAGTATTTAATGGTTTTACAAACAACGTAAAATGGCTTCATTATGGATAAAGTAAACAATGTGATACATTTATCTAACACGTTATTTTTATGAGTAAACAGCACTCACACACGAGTAACAAAAGCTGCGTCTCATTTTGCTCCCTATGTAGTGAATCAGTTTATCGTGAACACGAGTTCACTCACTGGCAGGGTTAACCTTTACACGTACTCACCTAAGCCATCGGCTCCTATAAGAAACTAAAAATTGTTTAGGTGCCACAGAATAAACTTTTTTTTAACACTTTAAAGGGATAGTTCACCCAAGAATGAAAATGTGATGTTTATCTGCTTACCCCCAGGGCATCCAAGATGTAGGTGACTTTGTTTCTTCAGTAGAACACATTTGATGATTTTTAACTCCAGCCGTTGCAGTTTGCCAGTCGTATAATGCATGGCAATGGTAACAAAATCTATGATTTCAATCATACTGTAATGTGTTTATGTCTCAACTTTTTAAAGGGTTATTTCACCCAAAAATGCAAATTAGCCCATAAATTACTCACCCTCAAGTACGCATTATATGAATTATAAACAATTCATTATATGAATTATAAACAATTATAATTAATATAATATAAAAATATAATATGTAGCCACGAAAGTCTGGCAATTTTGTCTCTCAAATTCGAACTGCTTTAATTTGGAGCTAGAGATACGGGGGACTGGCTTCATTGCATCAGATATATGTCACTTTGCTCACAGCTGATTGGTCCAGTTTGGGTTTGCCCAGAATAAAACCTGCTCCGGAGCAGGGTAGCCGTGTAGCGTAAGTTTCCATGGTGACGAAACCCGCTCAAAACCAACCCACCTTCTTGAGCCCGAAAACACAAGGGTTTGCTCAAACTAAATGCGAAATTACCTGGGTAAAAACCTGAAACCGGCTTCGTGCTACAGGCCACAGGTCATTTAAAGCCATTAACTATCACTCTGACTGGCTCACTTGGCAGTGTAGTGACTAGGGAGCAGAATGAGACGCACCCAGAGATTTATTGATTGCATTTATTTTTGGTTTTCTTACTTATTCTCCTTTTGAACAGAAGAAAGTGTCCGAACACACAGAAAAACTCTTGTTGAAGCAGCTGAGATCCACGTGACACGATTATAAAGATGGAGTTTATTAAAGAGGAGAGTGAAGACGTGAAGATTGAAGAAACATTCAGAGACAAACATGAAGATACTGAGGAACAAACAAAGATGGAGTTTATTAAAGAGGAGAGTGAAGACATGAAGTTTGAAGAAGCATTCAGAGACAAACATGAAGATACTGACGAACAAACAAAGATGGAGTTTATTAAAGAGGAGAGTGAAGACATTAAGTTTGAAGAAGCATTCAGAGTCAAACATGAAGATACTGAGGAACAAACAGGTTGGTTTTTATTCTTAAAGCTGAACTCACTCATTTGATCCTTATTAAAATGCCCAGCTCTACAGAAATGAATGATATTTCTGAAGAATGTCATATGATAGGGTGACCATACGAACTCTTTTCCCCGGACATGTCCTCTTTTTGGACCTAAAATAATGCGTCCGGCCAGGATTTCTTAATCGCCCAAAATGTCCGGGATTCGGCTGTTTTCTTAATCCCACTTTCGCTGAATCTCTGACCATTGCCGCCTGCCACTATGTGTTTCCCTCCCGCGATTTTCAATGCGTCCGGCCAGGATTTCTTAATCGCCCAAAATGTCCGGGATTCGGCTGTTTTCTTAATCCCACTTTCGCTGAATCTCTGACCATTGCCGCCTGCCAATATGTGTTTCGCTCCCGCGATTTTCATGTCCACTCCTTTAAACATTCTAATATCGTGTATAATTTTGGCGCATCAGGGAGCCGCTCTCAGTGTGCGGAGTATTTAAATCTCTTGAATGAGCGTTCGCGCTGTTTACTTTCACTTTCGATTTCGCGATCACACGCACTCTGTGTAAAGGGTGATTTCACCAAGTACAACATGTTCCTGGATCAACATCCTTGTTGATCCTGGAACAACATTTCAATCAACCAATCAGAATTGAGGGATAACTTTTCAGGAAATATCTGTTTTAGGCTTACGATCAGAGTTAGGTGCTTCTACACCCTTGTTAATCAGCTATCATTTTACACTGATTTTAGGAATAAATTATGGGTAGGGTTAGGTTTAGGTCTACCTATGATACTTTCATGGACTTTTACAATAACTGTTCCCTCCTGGTGGAATGAAGCGGAGTTTAATCATTTTCAAGAAACAACTGAAAATACATCTCTTTCATCTTCAATTGACCCTCTAACTCTAGCACTCTTTATTCTAATGCTAATTCTAATTTTATCTGCTTGTTTTTTTTTTATTAAATTAACTTGACCCTCTAACATTTGCACTCTATTCTATTTCTATTCTAACTACTTGTTTTCTTTTTATTTATTATAAATAATGACCTTCTAACACAAGCATTATCTATTCTTTTTCTGTTCTATTGACTTGTTTTATTTTTATTTAAAAATGAGCCTCTAACACTAGCATTCCCTATTCTTTTTCTATTCTATCTACTTGTTTTCTTTTTATTTAGTCTAAAAACAAAACAAGCAAAAAGCAAAAAGGCCTTGCTACGTATGCCGTGTTAGGAGAAACCCTGCCGCTGACGAAATGCAAAAATATGAGCAAAAATAAAACTTAATGTTAATGTTTTTAAGTTTGACGTACGTTAGGTCCACACTATGTTCGCTGGAAGCAGTAATGTCAAATGACTCGTCTCGCTGAGGTCAGGGTTGATCGATCTGCCCCATATTCATAAGTCGGATGTCTGACTTCAAGCAGCAATCAAGACATTATTTCCAAGTAGGAGATGGGAAAAATCTGAATTTCGAGTTGTCTGGAATACAGCATTAAAACCTGCTGCAGACTGTCATTGATGTAAATTGCTTGCTGATTAAATTTTGTATCTTAAATAAAGATTAATCTATATTCAATTTATTGTTCATGCATATACAAATTATGTGAAGATTTTATGTTAGGATTGTTGTAAGTTCACACTTTTCCAAAGCCTATTAAATGTAAAAAATTATGACTTTAATGTTGAATGGCTATACCTAATAACTACAATAGGGGGAAAATGTATTGAACCCTTGTGTTGTGTTCAAATCCCTAAAACACTTGTGGTGTTCCCAGTAAAAAATGACAGGCCTACAAAAAATAGCTTATAAATCTCGTTATGCTATATTATTACCAAATATTGATATTGATCTTTTTGTCAACTTGTTTTCTTTTCTTTCAATTACGAATGGTTTTGTATTTATTTTTGGAACTGATTTATCATAGGCCTCATTAATCTGAGCTTACGTACTGCAGTTTTTGAGTGAAAAAAGCATTATTCAAAATCATTATAAAAATATTATTTGGACAGTTGTGCAGTTTTGTCATGAAATGTAAAAATAGATCATTGGCATAACATGAGCTCTAATGATAATGTCCCTCATGGTCAGCATGTACTAGGAGAAAAGCAGATGACTTAATACTGAGCCCTGATGCACTCCATATTTGTGTTTGATTAAATGTCTATTTGTTTACACAGTATTAGCAGTCGGATAGATTTAAAACCTAATCTGTGCTAGTGCTTATCGACAAAATTTAAAGCTGCAGTCTGTAACTTTTCGTGCTCTAGCGGTTAATAAACAGAACTGCATGCGTATTGCAGAAGAACATTGTAGCCGGAGCTATTTCTCTTTGTTTATGTTTATAACGATTCACGCAGGTACTGGGCTACCTAGCAGCGGTTCCTACCAGAACCAGTCTAAAATAGTCTGCATGTAAAACTTATCATAGGTGTACTGTAGTGATTCAAGATAAGCCAAAAACATGGTTTGGAAAATGGCTTCATGATGTACTCACTTATTATATAATTTTTGAATTATATTGAAATTTAAAAAAAAAACATGAATGGCAGATTCAGGACTGGTATATAACAATGGTTTTGTTGGAAAATCTTGGTTTTTGTGTTTTAATACTTTTATCTTGGTTTTGAAGTCTTGCTTTAAGCCAATAAACTGCCACTAACTTGTATCTGTCTTTTTTTTTTTTTGCTTTAGACCTGATGGCACTGAAGGAAGAGAGGCAAGAACTTGCAAAGTTAGAAGAGAAAGATGAATATGAGAGACTTGATTTCATGACTGTGGGAAAATCCATACAGACTGAAACAACTTCATCACGAAAAAAAGCTCAGAGGACCGAATCTAACGTTTACTTCACCTGCCATCAATGTGGAAAGAGTTTCAAACAAAAATATAACCTTCAAATGCACATGAATGTTCACACTGGAGAGAAGCCGTTCACATGTGATCAGTGTGGAAAGAGTTTCAGACAAAAAGTAACCCTTAATTTTCACACGAAGAGAGAACACCCAGGAGAGGATGCTTTTAAATGTCATTGGTGTGGAGAGAGTTTCAGTTGTAAAGTAAGCCTCAAAACTCATATGAGACTTCACACTCCAGAGAAGCCTTGTACCTGCAAACTGTGTGGGAAGAGTTCCTCATGCAAAGCATCTCTTAAGATTCACATGGTCGTTCACTCTGGAGAGAAGTTGTTTCCATGTGATCAGTGTGGAAAGTGTTTCAGACATAAATCATCCCTTAATTCACACATTAAAGGTCACACTGGACAGAGTCCTTACACCTGCAAAATGTGTGGGAAGAGCTTCTCAGTTAAATCAACCCTTAATGCCCACATGAGAAGTCACACAGGAGAGAAACCCTTCACCTGCAAACTGTGTGAGAAGAGCTTCACACAAAAAGGAACTCTTACGGCTCACATGAAAACTCACACAGGAGCGAAGCCTTTTGTGTGTGCTCAGTGTGGAAAATGTTTTACACGTGAAACAAACCTTGCTAATCACATGAGGCTTCATTCAAGAGAGAACTCTTTTAATGGTCATCAGTGTGGAGAGAGATTCCCAGACAAGAGACACCTTAACTTAGAGTCATCTTTCACGTGCCATGACTGTGGAAAGAGTTTCAGATTGAAAGGAAACCTCAAGGTTCACATGAGAATCCACACTGGAGAGAAACCCTTCACCTGCACTCACTGTGGAAAGAGTTTCAGTCAGAACATAAGCCTTCAGATGCATATGAGGCTTCACACTGGAGAGAAACCATTTACCTGCAATGTGTGTGGGAAGAGCTTCACATATAAAGCACACTATAATTCCCACATGAGAATTCACACTGGAGAGAAGCCTTTTACCTGCAAACTGTGTGGGAATAGCTTCTCCCGCAAAGAATCTCTTAAGAGTCACATGGTCGTTCACTCTGGAGAAAAGCTGTTTCCATGTGATCAGTGTGGAACGTGTTTCAGACATAAAGCAACCCTTAATTCACACATGAAAAGTCACACTGGAGAGAGTCCTCAACCCTTATAGGTGGGGTAAGCGATTTCTGGTAGCTAATGTTGACATTTGAAATCACCAAAACAAACACGCCCCTATTTTGATAGCTCCGCCCCACACATACGTACGCAACCCAGGCAACGATTAGTTCTGTGAAACAAAGCAAAACCAATTGCTGTCGACACCATAGATATATATATATATACACATATCTATGGTCTACACTGGATGCGGCGCGGCACAACACGACAAATCCCTGACAGAAAACTGCTGCTGCGTTCTATTCATGACGTATTGACACAAATTTCAAGTGATTTTTAATCGTCCGGTGTACTAGACAGACATTAGCTGTTGCGGCGCAGACACGGTATTACTCACCTATCGAGAAGAAACAAAGCAACCTCGGCGTCCGATCGCAGGCCTCTGCTCCTTGAAATTCCCACATCATGAGTGGACACGCCCCTTACTGCTGATTGGCTACAAGTTTGTTTTGCTAGTCGGCCCGAATCAGTTTTCTAAAGCGTTTTTGAAAAATTGCTTACCCCACATTTATTACCCACATGAGAAGTCACACTGGAGAGAAACCCTTCAACTGCAAACTGTGTGGGACAGTGTTAATTTCATTGATGAATAATTTTCGTCATAATTCTCGTCAAACGACATTTTTTTCACTGACGACAACGAGACGATAACGAACTAAAACTCTTTTTGAATGACATACCCACAGAGAGCGCGTCTCACAGCACGCGAGTACTCTCTCGCGTAGCATGAACGGAGAATTACACACAAAATTATGTTGAATTGTCCGTTTTGACGAGTATTCA